CTGTAGTCAACCTCCGTCCTGCTGAGCGGCAGGACAGAACGAAAAATAATTTAGCCTCCTGTCCTGCCCTGTCCTGCAATCAACCTCTGTCCTGTTGAGCGGCAGGACAGGACGAAAAATGATGTACCCTCCTGTCCTGCCGCGCAGGACAGGACAGGACACAGGACGGCCGCACCGTCCTGTCCTGTGCTCATCTCTGGTTTCTATTATCTATTAATTATTGTAAAACATAATTATTGCCTACTGATAATACAAACATGTTCTAAAAGTGAACAAAACAAGCTATCATTATATTTATTGAATAAAAGATTGTTTATAAAAAGAAGTATTCTCAACATGGATGAATCAATCATATTCGTTGCAAAATAATAATATTGATTGTATAATGATCATGTATACATAATTGAATTTCTGGATGCAATTTTTACGTTATTCACTGATACAATAAGTTATTTAATGTGTCCGCATTGATTTCATTTTCATTTTTTCGACAAAAGGTGAACCATTGCAAAAGACTATTATTTCAAATAAGTCTTTCTTTTTCACAGAATATTTACTTTTAAAGATCGATTTGTAAAATTCAATTATAAATAGATATTTAATAATTATCAAAATTATTCTTTGTTTTTATCAGCTTGATTGAGTATCGGATTGATTTTATTGTTTCTTTTTTTTGTTTCAGAAAAATCTTCTATCAAATTTATATGTATCCAAAAAATATAACATAATTTATGTTTTAACATTTTCTTTTAAAAAGTAATTTATTGATTTCTATATTGCCGATTTGTTTACTTATTTATGATCAATATTTCTTAGAAACAGTTTCTTATTAATATTTAATAAAAATGTTGATCATTTTTTTTTTTTTATTGACTCCTTCAATAATTGATAAATAAATCGTTCTTTTTTTTAACTAGATAATAGAAAATAAGATGTGCTTGTATAATAAATTTAGTTTAATTTCGATCTTTTATTTTTAATAAATCGTATTGTTTTCTTAATTTCGTCCAATATAAATTATAATCATTCATAAAATTTTTATGTCTATCTGCTTCTTTTCCATTAAAATGATCACTTGAAGCTGCACAAGCAAGTGGATTATTTTTTGGTGTAAAAAATTCTTCACTACATTTTGTTTGATAACGAAAATCAACATTTTGAAAAATAGTTTGTCGTTGAATATTAATCATTTGTGGTAATAAACCAGTAAAATAAACATCAGATAATGGAAATGGTTTTAAATCAGTTTGATATGCATTAAATAATAAAGAACATGTTTTAAATGACATTAAATAACCAAAACCAGATAAAAAAGTTGGATATCTTGGACATGAATATTCATCTTGTGTAATAACATATCTTTGACCAATAAGATCAATACCACGACGAACAACTAAACCATATTCTATTGGAAAACCAAATAATGAATAAATTGTTTTATTATTAATATATTCAAAATTCTTTATTGATGATAATAATAAAAATGTATTTATAAATATATCATCATCTGTTTTAAATAAAAATTTTATTTGTTTACATCGTTCTATTATAAATTGATATAATGCTGCTTCACGTTCTGTTACATATTCATATTGTTCAGGAAGATTATTTATTTGTACTAAATCTTTATGATATTTATATTCAAGTTCAATTTTTTTTTCAGATTTTGAATCAATATCAACTAAAAATAATAATTTTAATTTAATTTGTGGAAAATATTCTTTTAATAATTTTATATTTCCCCATGTTCGACGTATTGATTGACGTATTGATGCATGAGAACATTTTGATATTACAAATATTAATATATCTATTGATGATTCAGTACATTTTATTAATGTTTGATTGTTATATTCAAATGGAATTTGAATTTTCGGGAGTGTTGAAAATAATTCTTCATACGATTCAGGAGAACTAAAACAAATTCACATGATTAATTCTATGGATAGAATTTCGTTAGTTCGAAATGTTGGAGAAAAACAACAGATTTCAAAAGAATTCTTTAAACTTTTCAACATTTTAAGACATCAAAAGCTATAAAAACTTCTATTATCCTATTGTAGGTATTCCATTAGACAAAAGAAAATAAGAGTAATATAAATGAGTTCATTGTCTAGCTATCTATTAGTTGCTTATATTTTTTTTTCTCTGTTTTATCATATCATAGTTCTCAAAAATGATGGTTTCATATGAGTAAATACTTTTCTTTGCCTTCTGTGGGTAATATAAATAGTTCACTGATAAAACAATTCAATAGAAACTTGATTATGATCTAAAGATCAAAGAAAAAACTTCATGATAGGATTTTCAACGGATCGGAATATGTTGATCCGATTTTACAATTGCGAGTCTACGGGCAATCCATGTCAAAAAGATGAAAAAAATCGGCTTTTCATCAATTATTTTTTTTTCGAATTAAAACTCGGTTAAAGTGTCACTATTTCAATCTGATTTTAATCAGATTATTCGATTTTTAATGAATTTAAATCAATTAACTGCAATGATCGTAAAAGACGTTTTTCTATTAGTTTAGCTTCGAAATTGAAACTTTCAATGGTTGATTCGTACGTCTGAACTACAAAAAAAAAATGGTTACTATAACATAAGTAAAACTTTGAGAGAAGCGTTTCAATTTAAATTTATTTATATAACAGAAAATACCGATAAATTAGATTGAAATCGATTATGTTTTAATTAATTGACGTGTGTTTTTTGAATTTTTTTAGTCACATTTTCTTAAAGTTTGATGGATTTTAATCGATTAATAAAGTTGAATCAATGAAAACCGATTATTGATAGATTTGTTACCAATAATCGATTAAAATGGATTCAAATTGAATAACCATATAAAATCAATTGAAAAATCAAATAAACTGTTTTAAATTCAATAAACAAAGTATTATTTGAATTATTTTTCAATTAAAAAAAAGATCGATTAAAGGTAGATTTTATTTGTCTTTTTTTTTTTCTACATAGAATATAACTTTTGACCTCTGGATTGATGATAATCTAGAAACAAAATCTTTAAACAAACACAAAATTTTTAGTAGAGCCGTCGCACAGTATCACTTTGGTATATTTTCTTGACAAAGAAAAAATCATTAGATTCTTCCATTGGTTCAAACGTGTATGCAAAGTATAGTGAATAAATATGCAAAAGAGAACAAAGACAAATTTTCCATTTTGAATATTAATAAATTTAACAACAAAATAAATGTTGACATGTTGGCACAATTTTGTCGGCAAATTGTTAATTCAAATATATTCATCTATTCATGTCAGGACAAATTTTGTTTTTTTACTCAACAAAATCTCTGTATCTTGGTTGACGTCTTTTGCCAAACAACTGTGCTTTAATTTACGCAATAAAAAGAACGTTAATGATAATAGATAAACTTAACTTGAATAAGAAACAAAACTATCTTTGATTAAACTTTTTACTAGAGAGACGGTCCATAGAACAGCTTGGTTTTGAAAGAAAATCTATGAATCGACTTTGATAGTCCTAGACCAGTTTTGCACCACAAACATGAATGTTGACTCATCCGACTAATAGTCTCCTTTTGAGCTCATATATTGCTTATAAACAGAACTCATAGTATAGATGAAAATCCTGAAAGAGTGTATACCATTAAGACTTGCTTTTCGAGTTTTGACCATCTTACTGAACTCTCAGTCTATTGCAAAAAATTCCATAACAAGAAGCTTTGATCTGAAATCTTCCTTGAGAATGGCTCTTATTTTGCTTATGATATCTTGAAAGTTGCAGGTCAAACGGATGTATCTATTTAAACTGAAGGGAAACATCCGTTTGAAATGAATCTTTCAGAATATGATGAGACACAGTAGCAAATGTTTTTAATAAATGAAAAACATATACTTCAATAAAATAGCAATACGTTGAAATATGTTAGAATAATTGATATATCGTCTCTTATTGAGAAAAGAATTTTCGATTTATATTAGAAATAATTAAAATGTGAATAAATGATTATTTTTTCATTTTAAATTAAATATTAAAATATTCTATCAATCAAAAGAAATATTCATTTATATAAAAAAAAAAAAAACCATAGTTCTTTTCATTGAAATTAAAACAAATTTAAAAAAAAAAGTTTTCTTTCAATATTTATCTAAGCGAGACATCACTTTTATATTTATATATTTAAATAAGATCTGATGAAACGAAAAGAAACGAAAAAAAAAAAAGAAAATTCAATTCAAAATGAAACATAATATGTCATTAGAATTCGATAATATTCTTTCTAAAAATCATGAACTTATCCTTTAATAATAATTATATTGTAGTCTTTCCTCTTTCATATAAGAAATAAGATCAATTTATAACTAAGATAACCTTTCTTTTTTTTTTTTAGCATGAGAAAATTATAAAAGTTTTGAAAATGATTACCGAATTCGTTCTTTTATTGTTGGAAAATGGTCATCCCAAGCACAAACTGTTGTTTGAGAATCTGGCCAAGGACAAAACCATGGTAAATGTTTGGCAGGATCACATAATTGATGTTCTTTATTATAAAATAGAATATATATTGCAAATAATAAAAATATTATTAATATAATCATTTTTAATAATGATAATGTTCGAAAACGTTGTAGAATATAAGAAATACATTTTTTTGTGAAAAACATCATAGAATTTTTTTTCATATAATTATATTTATGAGACATTGAAAGAAACATTAAATGAAGTCATATTTGCTCATATAATATTACTGTTATACTAAGTTTTTTACTATTATTTCATTGGCTACTTCGAATTAATGGAGCATAAAGTTATCATTATATTGATAGATGCGTAACAGCTGTTGAAGTGAAGGTTTGATGCACACGTGTATTCAACGTTTTACTGTACCAAAAAATAAACATGTAACTGAAAAAAAAAAAAGAAAAAAAAAAATCATGCCTTTTCAAATAGTGTTAGCGATGAAAAAAAAAGTGAAAGACTCACGAATGGCAAACAAAAGCAAAGACGAAAAAAAATACTCACTACACTATTATTTGCAGGATTAAATTTTTTTCTGTTCTATGTCGTTAATGTAAAAAAAAACAAGGTTTTTCTTATGACTGCATACAAAACAAAATCAATCGATTTATCGAGCAAAGAAGAATCAAACTACTAATATCAAAATGATTAAAAAAAACCTATTCAAGCAAATATTTGTCAAAAATCATATTGATTTTCATATTTTCGTTATGACTGATCTCAAATGTTAATATAACATTCAAAGAGTTGAAATAAAATAAGCTCAATGTGTTTTTTTTTAAAATAGCGACATGCTGATAGCTTTCCATTTCACTTTTTTTTATGAGCCCTCAGGAATCCTTTCAAGTAACGTGACATTAAATTCCATTCTTCATGTGCCTCTGAAAATGCTTACAAAAGGAACATAAAAAAAAAAGAACTTCAAGAATGAATTGTATAGACAGATTTTTTTTTCTTGTGTTTGATGTTTTTTTTTCCTAGGTCGTATTCATTGAAAGTCAGTGTTTTGTGTCACTGCAGTTTCGAGAACTGAAAATCATAGCATATTTCTAGAAATACAATAAATTAATTCTACTTTTATTATTCAAATGTCTCTTGTTTTAATTTAATGGTTGGTTGTATCATCGTTCAAAGAGAAAAAAAAACGTTTTTTTTTTCTTATCATAAATACACTCAAGCGTGCGCTCATTATTATTTGGCTTACATTCTTTCACATCGTTCATTTCCTCACATAAGATTTTGATCGTTGTTTTTATTGGTGCTTTTTCTGTTGCATAATTACCGATTTTAGCTGCTTGAATTTAGAATTGAAACGATGATATTTATGACAGATAAGAAAAAGCTTTCTTCCTATTATTTATATAATTAATCTATCTCTTTTTGTTTTTTACGAATCTTTTCTCGCATGAGAAACTGATGATTACAGTGTGTAAAAATCAAAAAACATCGCTGTCTAAAAAGTATCTTTGAAATCAGTAATCCAATAATATAGAATACCTGATAACAGATATAAGAATTTCATAATAGAAAGAACGGGAACCATTCAGTGACAAAATCAGTTCTCTTAATTCAGATTGTTAGATTTTGCTCAATTAAAGACATTGTTGTAGGGGAAAACTTTTTATAAATTTTGATGCTAGTCGATTTGAAAAATTTTGAACCCTTGATTTCTTTTATGCTTGTTTTACCAAAAATTTAAAAAGTGATCGTATCAATCAAGAAGAATCTTGACGATTTGAGGTGAAATCTTTTAGGACATATCTCTATGCGTTCTACTCAGAATAAAATTTTTAACTCAAAATATATAGTTATCAATTGTTTTTTTTATAGAGAAGTGTCTTTATTGAAAACTTTCATCTATGTGCGCCCTTTCTTTAGGTCAGATTAAAATCCTTGTCTTCAGATGAATTCTTCTCCCCAAAATAGCTTAGTTTAAGAAATGAGTTTAAAAAGTTGGAAGATCCATTCTACTTGTACAGCCGAATGGTAAAATCAGCCTAGGTCGTTTAGAAACTATTCAGAAAATGGATCACCTTTGAAAGCCTGAATGAGGACGTTAGCGGGGTAGGAGTCTTAGACTTAAAACTTCAATGTTTGATTAACTGTCAATTTGAACATTCCAATTGAGTAATTTTTCATTGAGAATACGTAGGTTCTCATCTTCGGTTGATATCTCGAAGTTACTTCTCTTAAAAACTCAAGACAGCCTTCGGAGGAAGTCTGACAGCATGTGCCTCGTTATATTTAACATGAAATTATTGTATTCGAACTCATTCTTTCAACAAGCTTCGTTTTGGATACTGAGGAAAACATTCTTTCAGCAATACTCATTCACAAATTTGGCACACTACTAGTAATATTTGACTTCAAACCTTAGGATTTTCAGCAATTCGACAAATTTATTTCTTGCTTCGACATTGAGACACAGCACATAGCTGCATTTGGAAAGCATAGTACTTCGTCTAATAGTAGGTACTCTGAAAAACACAGAAAAAAAAATGAAAAATGCATGAAAACATTATGGAAATATCGACCATTTTCGGATATTAATCGAGATTCTCGATGGTTATCAAAAATCATTTAGAAAATCTCAGCTTGAAAACAAGCACTTCTTACACGGAATTAGTTTTTTAACAGTTTATGCGTTACAAATTCTTAGTCATTTCGAGATCTAGTTACTATATAGGTGTTGTTGATTTTACGTGCGTTTTCTCGCTTCCCTATTTTTTTTCTATTTCGATGTCTTCTCTGTCATATTTTCCCATGAATATCTTGTTTGTGTAAGGAATTCATCTAATATTAATAGTTGATATGCAAATAAATGGATTTGTCTCTTTACTCATTAACCTACCTATAAACCTATCTATCTAACTAATATACTTAATTAGCTGAGTCCATATCTATTTGCCTACCTTACTACCTATTTATCAATCTAAACATCTACTTAAGTTTTTAGATAAAAATATTTTTCCTCTTTTCCTCTTATCTGTATTGCATATGTCTAGATAATAATAAATATTTATTACAAAGTGTTTTAAGTACTTGATTTTACTATAATTAAGACTGATTAAAATTTGCTTTTACGGAGAATGTAGATTTTTGAGTACTAAATGTCAGCCCCATTTACAGATTTCTTGATGGCTTTATAATATCTATTTTGTTTCCACTTATTGTTTAACTATTCAGGGCTTATTTACATCTGTATCATCGACTGTATTTCATCAATCGATCATTCAACTGATAGCCACGAGAGTTTAGTGGGTGGAAAAGCAGTAAGGAAATTATCAGATTCTAACAGAACTAATACAGTCAATGAGGAATCTTCGAATTTATTCATATGTGGTAATGTTCAATAGTATTGAAAGACATACGTTCTTCATTGAAGTAAATTGGGATGAGTCATATGCTATACTAAAAAAAACGTATTTAAAGCGTTCTTGTAATAAATATTCAGTTGTTATTAATCAGTTACAAGAGCAAGATGTAAAACACGGTCTAGATACATGTGTTTGAGACAGAAAAATAATTTCATCAAATAACTCTTATTAGTGTAATATCTCTATGATGTGAATTACGTTGTTCAACTATTATATTCTTGGTATTGAATAAAAACAGATTTATAAAATGAACTTAATCAGATTCAATATATAATATCCAGCTGATATCAATTTCTTGACTAAGTCTATAATGGTGTTTTGGGAGTTCAAGCTTCCATTCCTATACATTAACATTATTTTTACATCGTGTCTCACAAACGAGAGAAAAAGAAGCATTTTTTGCTTCAAGATAGAACTAGCTACCTACCTGCCTATCTGATTACAATGAAAAATAATAATAAAATGAAAAAAAAAATATATTTTGTTCCATTCTGGGTATAAATATTTAACTTTGTCAGATGTGTGTGTTATACTTGTATCGTCGATTTCAGACGTTTTTTCTCGTTTCTCCTATTCTCTATTACTACGAACATTAGTAAAAGAAAACATTTAGTCAAATATGAGAATAGTTACGTATATAAGAAAAACTTCTATTTATATACTAGTAATGAAGGAAAATAAGTTGGAAAAGAAATAAAATATTGAGAATGCAGACAGAAAGTAAAAGAACATAAAGTGGTAGAAGAAGGTCATATAAATAAGTGTTGATTATGATCGATTTCATCAATGTGTACGATTTTATCTCACAATTTTTATTACTTATTGTAAAGTGTAATCCTCACATGAAGTATAAGATAACAATAAACGACTAGAATAATATCCTGTTTTTCTCTCCTTTATTACAATCCATCATTTCCTATATATATACTTGAAACCAATGGAAAATTCCATACAAGGGAATATGCCATAGATGATGACATACGAGAAGAGAAAATCACCTGTAAAATATCAAGAGAAAATAGAATAATCTATAGCTCCAAGAAAAGAAAAGAAAAGAAGAACGAAAGGAAAAATTCATCACACATATCAAATAGTAAAGAAAAATAACATGAATGAAAATAGAATAACAGAAAAGAGAGTAGAGAATATGCTACTACCTAACACTTATATAAATCTAACTATGATATAAAAGTAAATAAGTCTACAAAACAAAAAAAAAAGAAAGTAATCGTTTGCTTGTTTTTCATCTCTATTCTCTTTAGAGAAGTACGAAAATGAGTGACTGACATAGTAAAGACTTTGTTCACAAATAATAGGAAATCGCTCATTTATGCTTTTTTATTTTCTCTCGATTTCTTTTTTTAAAATGAACTAAATTCTTTAGAACGACTAATCGATGCATACAGTTCTATTGAATTGAAACTATCTTATTCCGTCGGTACAAGGACAAGTCATTTTATGATTACTATACAATAGAAAATTATAGTTATAAACTGTGACATATTCAATTAAATGAATAACTAATTCACAAGTAACGTTCATCGTCAAGCGATTCACTTAGCCCTAGACTGATAAAATACATGTACGGATGTAATAACATAAAAAGCTACATTAAAAAAGTAATACGCAAAATTGATAATATTACCAGTATATCTTAGGCGACCAGAAAACTTAATTTGGAGAATTCTCACTCTAAGTAAAGATGATGCATTTACAAATTTAATTTTTTTTATCGTTTTTGTTTTATTTTATTTTTTTTTGCTTTTATAAATATAAATAGCGCCCAATAAGATTAGACAACAATACGATCTTTTTATAATTATATTGGCGCTATTTGTACGTACAAAAATATGAATTATATTATTCATAAAATTTGAGTTTTATTAATCAATATTTTATACTTAAATTCGCGCATTAATTCTAAACTATTAATAAATTAGATATTCATTGATACAACATTGCACAATCAATCCTACAATAATGAATAATTTAAACGATTTCTTTAAATCCATACTGCTCATTTGGTCTGACTCTCACTAATTAAATGCTTTTGTAAGCCGTTCTACACCACTACCCGAATTATAATTATTCCATTGACATTTTACCCATGATTATTATGGGTTCATTTACATCAGTCTTTAGATGGTCATTTGTACCATAGTTACCGGAATAGTTGTTTGTACCATGGTTGCTCTATGGTCACCTGTGCCATAGTTACGTGGCCGTTTGTGCCAAAAAATGGTCACTTGTGCCAAAAAAAATGGTCGCTTGTACCAAAAAAATGGTCGCTTGTGCCAAAAAAATGGCTATTTTGACCGCGTTACCGACAGACAGACAGACACAGGTGAATTTCGGTTTCTAGACCCTAGCCTTTCAGTCTAGGGAATATATTCAAAATAAAATCAATTTGAATGCACAATTTGAAGTATAATTTGATTTCTTTTTTATGGTCAAAGTTGTTTATCTTCGAGATAAATAATCATTCAATACTTCATTCATATTTTAAATTAAAAAAAAATAATGTTTTCAAATAGTATGTTCTTAAACGGAGAACTCGATCGGTTTTCTACTATGAATTTCAATTTTCTTATTTCAAGCTTATGCATAAGTGTAAGCAGAAATCAAAATAAAACTTGTGAGATAATTTGAATATTTGGTTACCTTTTCAACATGGATAGTTGTCTAGCTTAAATTATTGAACTGTAAGTCTGATACAAAGTCATGTTATCGTCGAAATCTGAATAAAAAAATAGACAAGTATGTGATGCTAATGGATTGGTCTATACAAACTAGGAGGACTCGCATACATTTCTTGATTAAATCATCAAGCATTTTACGCATCCATACAGCTACAAGTAGCTGAATGATTCATAAATATATGCATTACCATGATCGATAACACTTGTTTATAAACTAAAGTCAATAGAAAACTGTATAAAAGCACGAAATTTCAAGAGTTCAAAAATTATCTATCTTAAAACGCTTATAACTATCTGATTTTAGTCGCCAAAAAAACTTTAAAATTCGAATACAAAATAAAGACACAAATATGATGTTTATTTCTCAAGAGGAAATACGATTATCAATTATTACTTCAATCATAACAGTAAAAATGCGTATTTAAACATTTACACACTTATTTATATTCGATAAAAATATCTTATACATGTTCACGCTCAAAACTTGGACATTCTGGTATTTACACGATCAATTTTTTCTACATGTGTTTTTTGAAAAATTGTATCTGCTTAGGCTAAAGTCTTTGGATTACACAAATTATTCTTTCGTTAATTCTCTCCACTATATGTGATTAGTCTGAAAATTATGCAAAATATATTTTCGAGGACGTTCTGTCTCATTGCACTAAATCTCAGTTTCGAAATCAGAAATAATTTTTTAAAGATCTCTGGAAATCTTGGGTGTTAGGGGGCAATATCACTAGTAATGTGTAGACTTTGTTGATGAATATTGTAATAAACGATTTTCTTTACGATCTCTATATAGATCGATAAAATTCATTCTTGTTATGACAATAATAAAATAATAATAAGAACAAATAAAAATATTATATCTACAGATTTATCAGTAAAAAGTATAAGAATAAAAATAAATATGAACATTTGCGATAAGATGCTATATTGAAATTTTTCTCTAATAATATATCATGTTCAATAGAAACTGTTAATGATATCCTATGATGTTGATCATATTGTTGGAATTGATGTATATTACTTTCCGTTGAACTTTCTTTATCAATACTTGATTCACATTGTATACAATATTCTTGATCTTGTTGTAATTCTTCATCATTCAAATTTTGTTGGGTTAATGTCACACTATTATTAGTTCCTTGAAAAACGTTTTTGAAAGAGTTAAATTCAATGTCAGATGACAATGGTTGACGATGATCAATATTAACAAATAAATAATAAAAAAGTGATCTATTCTGTAATACACGCCATGATTCACTATATTCGAATAAAATATTTTCATCACTTTCATTAATTGATATTCGTGTTCCATTAGGAAACATAAGACCATTAAGATCACCAAGTAAACCATACGATGGTGTAGGTAATTGACTAAACTTTTCTTGCTCTAATAGTGTCTCAAGATCAAAAAAATCGAATGTTGGACGAATATGAACACGAAATTGAAGAGGACTTCCATGAAACCAAATTTTAAATGCACCATTAACTTTACGTTTTATTTTCACATATTCATCTTCATAAATAATCATAGGTACAATAAATTCTTCATCAGGTAATTCAATCACTCGTGTATCAATACGAATTTCGAGAAGTTGATGCATTGGAAAAAGTTCAAATTGAACACGTTTTTTAGTTTCTACAAGACCAATAACAAAAGCAATAATTCCAACCGTTGAATCTGTTTTATTATCGTCACCATTAGATGCAAGACGTACTTGAACTTCTAGACCATTAAGTTTTGGAAGAGATAATAATATATATTCACCTTGTCCTCGAAATGTATATGAAATACCATTAAGTGTAATAAAATAAGAATTTCTATGTATATCCATTGATTCAGATTCTATGTTTTCACATCGTCCTGCAGGACGATAATCGTAATAAGCTTTGCACATTGCTTCACTCATTAAAGAACTTCGACAACAAGACCAATACGAAAGAAAATCAGAAAAGAAATGACCAAACATACTTAAACGTTTTTCGAACCAACTATTTGCATCTGGTGATATAACATCAAGTGTTCCAGCACCTTCTTTTCCATGTTCAATAAATTTTCCTTGTTCATCATAACAACATTGAGCACCAGCCCAACTTATATCCGATTTTTTTCGATAACAACTTCTGGCTTTTTTGTGATAATAACATGTTTCTTCAATAGATTTTCGACCATCGCAACCTTCATCAATTCGAAAGCCCATAAATTCTTCAAGCCATGGTTGTGTCGGTACTTGGCAAGCACAAACTGGAATCTGTTCAATATATTGAGTTGGATCACTCTGCATGAGTAACCAAGCTGGACAATATGCAGCATGTAAGGATGTTGCAGCTGTAAAGATCTTAGCACCGAAAAATAGAGCCGAACGAAACCATTCACGAACTTTTTTCATTTCAAATGAAATTTGTAATGCATGAACACGATCATTGGGATCGGTTTTTACAGGAAAAATCATATTATAACCAATAGTAAGATTTCCAATAGATGATAAATTAAGATAACCTAATCCTAGATCAATCCGTTGTCGAGTACGATTATAAAGCATTTGATTATCAGATGATAATTGTGTTGCATAATCATATATAACAATTTGAAAAAGATATTTACGTGTAATTGCATTCGATTGAAATTGAAGAACTAATTCATTATTATTTGGATCAATTATTTGATGAGTAAAATTTCCATAATTACTTAGTATTAATTCACCATGATCTTCTGGTACATGAGCAAGAAATTCAGTAGAATCGATAAGAATCTGATCTTCTTGTTCATATAGTTCAATATTGATTTTACCACTATCCATCAACATAGGCATAACACAAATAATATATAAAGTATTGAGTACACGACAATCATCAAGTATTTGATTATCAATATGTATTTCATAAGCAGATTTATTAAAACAAATACCATGCAATCGAAATTCATATCCACCATAAATTGAACCACGAAATGGAGAAACTTGTAAACCAGTAGATGTTACACATTGTACATTACTAAAGTTACCTGACGTATGAAATACAAATTGACCAGGTACACCAATATTTGAATCATTAACAATAGTCATTACTAAGGGTGAAAAAGACTTTTTCAGTTTATAATAATTAATCTTATCACCAGTATTAAATCCAATTTGTGAATGAATACCTAATGAACCCTGTGACCATTGTAATTGATGATAGATGAATAAAATAAATGAATAAAATCCATTAGTAGTTAATATTGCTTGATAAGTATTACGACTTGTAGAATTTATACTGTTAGGTACTTCATACCAAGTGACAACAAATGCCCAGAACATTCGTTGAGCAGCGAATTTAGAAAATCCATTACGTATACTTTCACTTATTCGCAAAAGGATATTAGGTTCGTTCTTAAGTAATATTTCACGATAAAAAATCTTACTAATTGAATCATCTGTAATGTTTGTATCAATCCAATAAGGTGCAATACAAACTAAATCTTGAAGAGGAAATTGATCTGGTATTTTAAGTGATGATGCATAACTATGATTTCCTAATATGATTAAACCATGATTGGAAATACGAACTTTATCATAATATTGATTAAAGAAAGGATATCGAACAGAAATTAATATTGGATCAGTTATATCGCTAAGTTTTTGTTCAAAGATTTTATCATTATATTCAATACCATATGGAACAAAATTAATAACGTTATTTGTGTCTATCACATGGATAAAACATAGTAGAACAAAACATCCAAACATTTTCATTATACTATCGGTACGATGATACTATCATCTTTATATACAAAATAATAATACTTGATGTTCCTTTAGTCAGTACGTCAAAATATAGGTGTATGTGTGCCAGTGCAAATTCTTATCTTTTTGAAAAATTATATAACAGAGAACGAATTAGTATATATATGACTAATATATAGTCATCAAGTTCGTTTATATTTAATATTTGTTAATCGTATCAGTGAATCATTTCAATAGTAATAATTATATATATTGATATTAATTGAAGAAAACACTTTTTTTTTGAATTAGTAATCATGAGAAACTTTTTCATAAGTCTCTATATTTTTTACAAACATTTTTTTTATCAAACAAAAAGTAATAAGAAAATTTATATTATACAAGACGAAAATAGCAATGACTTTTCTTACGCTCTGAATCTATTTCATTTGAATGAATAAAATTACAGCATGTGTCATTACAATGACGAATAATAAAGTTTATTTTAAAAAAGAGATAAAAGATTTTTAGCTATATTTCAAAAAGTTTACATCAACTATTTTAATACAATCATATGTTTACTCAATATTAATATATATCTAATATTCGTAAATTAATATAAACTCAACTGCACGTGACTTTAAAAACTGTGTGTAGACGCTGATATCATAGCAAGTTTGACAGGCTTATATTACGTATCAACATACTACATGTTTTGTTGCTCGAATTACTATAAAGAGACCTTTTATTATCGATACACGTGTTTATACTTTTATTTATCTAATATTGTCGTAAAAAGTTTCTGACGTACGTAGCATTACCTATGTAAGTAGAAAAAAAAATAATATGTAATCTACGCCCCCAAATGACTCCTATGCCAATGTAACACTTGTAAAAACAAAAGTCATAAAATTATTGCATTTTGGTAACCTTAATGACCAATTATTTTTTTCGCCTCTTCACTAAAAGTCTTACGTCATGAAAGTAACATAAAGAAAGAATGCAATCGTGTCTGAGTAAGTAGTTTTAGCTGTTACAAAAAATTTAAAGATAACAAAAATTTCGACAGATGCAAGGTAAAAAGGAAGAAATGATAGAAAATGAAGAGTAGCATACATAGTAAAACAAATAACATAAGTAACTGCTTTTCATATATCAACATGTTTTTCGATATTAGTATAGCAGCTATAATATCTAGAGTGAGCATGAAAGGTATTTCAGAATAGTTCAATCGAGAACAACTAGTACATATTAATTGATTATCTATAGAGATACATTAAAATAGACAATAAGCAATATAGTAAGATGAAATAGTGTTAGGTTATCCAATGGTTTCTTCAGATTCCTCTTTTACTAAAAGGCAATTTAAAACTTCGAGTGAGTAAACATCTATTTTTTGGAGCATTAACACACACACAATATGTAGTACAATATTCACGGGGCGCTGCTTCTCTTTGGCTTCGATCCTGAATAAAACGGTCAGCTAATCAAGATAGTTACTAAATAAGTAAAGAAATGCATAACCAAATAATACTTATTCTATATTTACTAAAAATAAAATTCTTTTTAGAAAAAAGTAGATATGCTTATAGAGTACAGAAGAGATGATTATGCCCATTCGTTTTTGAAATCTGATTGATAAAAACTGTTTACTATTTTGATTATTATCTGATGTATTGTTTCGTAGTTGATTAATAATAAAATAGTTTCACTGTAATAAACGTTTTTTTCTTTCCTTTTTAGTTGACCTCAAAGAGAAATAAAATACCTTGAAATTTTGCAAATCAATAAACCAAACATTTTTTCAATCTTGAAACAATTGTTTATTTTTCATATAAGTCAACAACAACATAGTTTAATGTCATTGAACGACGAATCTATCTTGTTCATTGTAAAGAAGAAATGGCATATTAGTGTGGCGTGATGGCAAATTAACTATGTGCGATGCACGTTTTCCATCCGGTGAAGAAAAAGTCAACTAATTAGTTCTTTTTTTTTTTGCCTATATATATATTCTATATTAAAAACGTGATGTCTTTTCTTCTTCTTTTACACTTGGTTTTGTCATTTTGTGAGACTTTTCATCTTACAAAAGAATATAATGAGGAAGACAACAAATGATAGTAAAAAGAATCTTCAATGTTCGTTTTCTGCTTTTAAAGATAGTCAATGATCATTACTTTAAGTTTCATGATAGTAAACATTTTGTGCCGAAATCGGAGAAAAATCTTATTTTTTGATAGAGATCGAGATCAGTTCCAAAAATAAACGGTTTTATAATTCTGCCTATAGGTGATGGGTGACAACGGTCGAACGAGATATAGTCTAGAACTTTCTATAATAGATTATAACTAAAGACGTGCAGTACCTGGATATAGTTATCAATGGTCTTATGATAGAATAGAAAGAAAGAATAGAAAAAAAAGATAAAATCGTATAGCGCATGCTGCATTCACTTCAGAAATCATATTTACCACCGTTAGCAACTTCACATTTGTTTTTTTTTTTGATAAATTAACAACTTTCAACAACCCAGGTCCAATAAAACAGCATTGCAAACGGCCTTAAACGGCGTAATAGCGATGTAAAACGTTGAAAAACGACGCCGTAATCCGTCATACCAGATTACGGAAGCAAAATCGTAGGAAAACGATGGCCATTTTCTAGCGATAAAAACGGCTCGTAAAACGGTATGACGGATTACGGCGAGATAAGGCCAAAATTAAGGCAATAATTCATCGTTTTATAGCCGTTTCCGACGGTCGGAATGATCGACCTGGGAATGTAAGTAATAACTTTAACAGTTCTTCTTTTATTCGAATAAAAACGAACAAATACCTTGAAAATTAATGTTGTCTTTTCTCCATTTAGGCCAGAATTTTGTAGTACGAAAACAGCTAGCTCCAAATCGTCTACTTACGCATCAGTGAGTATTCTTGATTTTTAATAAGAATAAATTTATTTCACTCAAATATTTATTATTTAGACAACAGTCACGATTTCGAATATACCGAAGTTTCTCAAAGACAAAGAAATTAAACCTGCTTCGAATAGCATAATTAATAATACTATTAAAGAACTTCAGCTGACTCTTGACGTTGCCGATCATTCTACAGGTGTTGCTTTTGTTCAATTTTACGATGAACATGCAAAAAATGCATGTCTAGAGTTTCAGGCAAACAATCGATTTATTTATTTATCGTAACTTCGCGACTTTTTCTTTCCTTCATAAACAATTATTTCTGTTTTAATTTTTAGCGATGCTTTATGGAACGGTCTAATAAATATTAAAGAATATAATGGTATCGAACACGAACGAAGTACTTAAGTACTTCGTTCGTGTTCGATACCAGTATATTCTTTAGAGAAACGCTACGAAACGTTTTTAGAAAAACGATCGTTTCACAGCGTTCGTATTAGCAGATGGGAAATGCGTTAAACCGGTCAGCATTAACGCGTTTCGCAACTATGGAAAAATGCGTTTTGAGAACGCGTTTTTTTCGCAGAAATTTACGCCATGGGCACTGTCACTACGACTGTCGCTGTAAGAATCGTTGCTTGATATCATTTTGATTTTGTCAAAAAAGGTTGATCGAGAATGTCGAGTATCTGACTGAGAAGTGAATGGCAAGACAACTAACCGACAACTAACTGAAGACGAGAACAACTGAGAGAGAGAGACAGTGAACAACGAGGGTATATATAGTATCGAAAATGGAAGCTTCCAGAACATTGCGCAAGAACACCATGACATGACTGAAAGCATAAGAGTATAATAGAAGGTTCTAGAATGTATATGTAACACTGGACAACGGACAGTTACGAGGATGGCCACGTGAACAGACACGTGACCACATGTTATTACATCACAAAAACAATATTGAAAAATACCTTTATAGACAGAAGGAGAACGAAAGAGATAGCTATAGTGGACAAAGTATATATTCAGTAGAGTGAGCTCCAGTAGGTGCCGGATACTAGAGTCGACTCATAGCAAACAAAGAAAGCAGAGTTAAAAAGTTATAGTCTTCATTTTTTCCATGCAAACTTGTCTGACGAGTATACCCGTCATTAACAGTCAAGTGGTTAATCAATAAAAATACGAAAATAAATAAACGAAAATCTTCATTCAAAAATTATTTCAAAGAAGATTGATCAATATTTATTATGATTTCAAATTTAGCAAAAATAATTGAAAATGGTCAATGAATTTTAATCCCACTTTGTATGACACAAGGAGATACTGTTGGAGGCACTTTTACAACCATCAAAATGAGATTAATTGAAACTTTATTTGATATCACTTGTATTTTTATTCTTTATATTAAAAATTAATTGTTTATTTTTCTATTCATTATCCAAGGTGCTATGTGACCATAGGTTACATATTTATCAGCTGGAAATGATTTATATAGAACAATAATAATGCTTTGCCCATGGATGTTCTTTAGTGGTTATATGAAATTATATCCTCGACGAGGTTGTCCTGTTACAGTAACTGTATTCGCACCAATTCTTGCTAATTTAGGACGTTTACCATTTGCAGATTCATTACCACCTGAAAATCATGCACTTCTTAGAATTCAACAGAATTTAGTCAGAATTAGTATTGTTCCTGTTCTTGCTCTTATCATTTTTCCACATTTTGCTACTGTTTTACTCAAAGAAAATATTTATAGTAGTTATTTGAAGATATTTTATTATTTATGAGAGTTTCTATCGTCAAGTTAAAAGTTTTCAATTTTCTCCTTGTTTTTCGTAGCACTTGATAACCAAGATTCACTTATATTCAATAAACCTTACAACAGATAAAGAACTTTTTGATATATAAATTAATTTATATTATGTGTTTCAAACAAAAATATAGTCAACAAAAGTTTTAAGTCGAGCTTTTAAGGTTCTCTCATATCAACCATGGGAAGATCAACTACCATCGGGCAGATTTTTATAGCAACCGAGGAGAGCAAAAGTCAAACTTCTTATATAGAGTTCCTTAGCAGCAGAAAAGAGTGCTGAATTAAATTAAAAACAAGATTTAGCTTTCTCTAGTTTTTCGAGAGATTTTTCACTTAATATATTTTGTGTTAGTATATTGTGGCAAAAGAGCACATGTAAGTTCCACATTTTAGCTTTAAAGGGATTGCGCTGTCAATCTTTTTCATATGGATGCATAAATTATTTTTCAGTTCTTTGTAAAGTAAGAATTAAATTCAATTTTATTTTGATGAAATAACGTGTTGTTAAATAGATTAGATGTAAACTTGTTAAGAATTCTTTGTTTGTATATAAAAACAGTAATTCGTTTGCATATATATTGTTTTAGCAACATTAGTGTTATGTCGAAATAATGTTGAATCAATAGTGCATACATACAATTAAGTATTTCATCATGGAGTTAATCAAGAAAATCTAATAGATTTTTCGACATTAAATGATGTTAAATACTATGTTGACAATCTAAGACGTACTTTTCATAAATTATTAAGTACTTAACGAACATTAGCTGGCTATGCATTGATTGAACCATCTTGTTGGTGGCTTAATAATGAATTTTCAAATTCACGTTATAAAACACTTGTTCAACATCAAATTGATATTTGTACAGGGTATCCCAAAAAAATGTATATACTTTAGCTTAACACTCTATAACAGATGTTCACATTGTCCACCATCGATCTCCTGATTAGAAATGTTGTTCCCGCTATTGAGAACTTGTACGACGACGAAGAAGTGTTGTTTCAGCATGATGGAGCTCCTCCACATTTTCATCAAGATGTACGGGAATTTTTGGATGAACATTTTACTGGGCGATGGATGGGACGCCACGAACCAGTGAAATACCCACCACACTCTCCAAACCTCACACCTTCAGATTTTATCTTATGGGGTATGCTGAAAACGAATGTTTACGCTTCAAAGCCCGCGGCTATTTAAGAACTCCAACAGTGGACTGTTGATTTCTCTACCGCTATTCCATCAACAACATGTGCCTCTGTATGTCGCTCTGTCATCAAACGTTGTAATGTCTGCATGAATGTCGATGGTGGACAATTTGAACGTCTGTTGTAGAGTATTAAGCTTCATATGTTCGATAAATAAGGAAACAACTAAAATAAGAAAAAGTATTTTGTGTACTAGAGAAGGTGAAAGTGTATACATTTTTTTGTGGGACACCTTGCATGTTCAATTTGAATGTTATTCATAAAATTATTTAAAAAAAAAATAAAAATGATAATTATATGTTTTCTATATAGTAAGATTTTTTCTTTTATTTTTAAATGATTAAAAGATTTAACTTTGAGTTTCATAGACCGTTGCACTTAATTGAAAAATTCTAAACAAGATCAATTACATGTTTCTTTTATAATTGCTCATCATATGTCGAACAGCATTACGTCGAAAAATGCTTTACAAGATTCACATGAAATTTGATCAACATTGTATTCCTAAGCTGGAACACCACACACTCTACACTCGAGCATTTCAATTGATTCGATTTCATTTTCTTCTTCGATTGTATCAATCTATAAATAATTATATAAGAATTTCAATAAACAAACTACTTCTGGTGATGAAACTATACCGAATTTTTTTTCAACTTTATTATTCAAATCAAATGATGATAATTATTCTTTCATACTTGTTTTATACTCAAATTATTTAAAATAATAAAATAAATGATGAAAGCCATATCTGACGATTGTTTTATTTATCATAACTTATTCTATTAAAAATAAAATTTCAATTTCAAAATTTTTTATTATTGTGTTTTCTTCTGATCTACAAGAAGCTCTATTACAAAAAAGTTCTTGGACTCTCATCTATTTTCAATTGTATGTATAACCTATTGTCTGTTCTCCCGTAAAAACAAACATCCATTGAACTGTTTTTTTTTTCGTTATTACTCCATGTTGATGCACAGGAATACTAAAGACTAACATATTTGTAACCAAAGAATGTGTCATTTTATTTAAAACAAAATAGAATTCCACTTGAAGTTATTTTCAATAAATGAAACATCAAATATGGTCTTCTTAGTCAGTTATATTTGTGTACCTTGACTTGTTTCTTTATGAGAAACATTACTGATTTAGACGGACATAAGCACGCACACATTCATAGAACAAAAAATAAAAAGGTTTCGAACTACATGCAATGGCGTTTTTTTTCTGTTTAAAGACTAATTAAAACACAAAATCATATACAGAAAAAGAAAACAATAATCTCAACTAGTAATGTTTGCCATACTTATAGATATTAGATCGATAAGAAAAAATTATCAATGTTTTATCTGATTTCATCCTATCAATTAAATAAAATAAATCTTTTTACGAATGAAATTAATGAAGTATCTATACTTTCAAAAGTAATATAACATATGAAAACAACCATCAGCGCTTACCAAGAAAAAAGGTTAACTATACCTATTTTAAAAAAATATTTATTTCCATGTCTTTTATTTTTTTTTTGTATAGAATGAATATAATAGAGAAATTTTACTAAGAATAATATTCATTAGATAATATAAAAGGTTGAAGCAATTAAAGGACTAAATTATTAAGACAAGTCAAATATGATTTTCGATCAAAAATTCATATATTTAAATCAAACAGAAAAACTTATAATCTTGATGTTTTAATATTGGAAGTACACGAAATTTTATTTGATCTGACATTAAAATTTCAAGTCTTAATTAACGATAGAATAAAAAAAAAGGATAAAAAATTAATTTTTTAATTTAAACAACTTTTTATTTCTTTCTAAATGGCAAAAAACAAGACTTTTAAATGCAAGATTCTATATATTTTCTGTTTTAAATTTTTCTAGCACTTAATTTGAGGTGTCTTAGTAATTGCATCTTATACCTCATAACTTGTAGAAGGAAATCTACAGAATCTGAATCTATCGAAAACACTAATAAATGAATACACATTTCATGAATAACAGTCTAAAATCTAACCTACTAAAAAGGTTCTGCTGTTTAAATAAATACGATTTTATTGATTAGAAAATAGTCAAAATAAGAAATGAAGTTCAATATTTATGACATCCAAAAATCTCATATAACTGCTCGATAAAATAACAACCTGCTTATGAACCATAATCTTAAATTATTTCAAGACTATATTAATTCATATAAAACTGAATTCATTCAGTTCATTTTCTATTTTAAAATATTCTCGAAGACAGACAAACATTGAAGACTTCTCTGAAATTTTTGTGAAAAGAAAAAAGGAAAATATCCATAGGAAGTGTCTGAATGTCCAGAATTATATGACCACCGTTCTTTAGAGTGATCACTTACTATAAAGTCTTTTTGAAGTATTGGAATCATTTCTGGTTTTATACGACGAGTTATTTCGATTTTCTTCAGATTTGAAAACATATGTATATTTATATATTGGTCAAGTTTATACAAAAGTTGTTTAATGATTATACATCTGCTGTTTATGTCATCGGATGTAGTGAGCCTTAGACTTTTTTGCTTTACACCGATAGTCGCAAAAACAACCATACTATAAGAGTCTTGCATCATACACATAAAGAGGGAAAATTCAATGAAAGTGTATTCCATGTCATTAGATAGAATATAGAAAGTATTTTCATCGAGCGGGACGTCGCGTTATTAATAATAACATTTAAATGTGAAAACCATAATATCATTGTGATGAAGATTTAAAAAGCATCAATTTCATTTATTTATGAACTTTTATCACAAAAATAAAACTTTTGTTAGACAAGAGAATAAGAAATAATAAAAATTCGGATAGCATTAACAAATGTTGTCATACATACTGACTGTGGAATGTAAAAAAAAAAATATTAAAAATATCTAGAAGCAACGTCTTGTTTGTGAAGATTTCATTAAGTCTTCGTTTATTTAAAATGAAGATAGAAACTTCGAATTAATACATCCATAACATGCGCTAACGACATCTATTGTATAAATGTTAACACTGAGTTTTAGAAAATTTTTTTTGTAAGTAATTTTTCACTTTTCTGTGAAGAACAAGAGGTCAAGCCGGATAAAGAATTTTTAACTGAAATCAATTCGAGAGGATAAGTTAAGCATTTTGACTGGTAATTCTTAGTTAATACATATTGTGATAAATGACTCATTCATTCATTGCAGTTATTATTAGAGACGAACAGCAATAACTTTCATTGAAATAGAATTCCATTTTTCAATCTGTCTTTTCTTTTTATTAAAATTAAACTGAATATTTTAGAAAAATGTTTTCATTTGGTGCACCGACAAATACGACTACGGCAAGTGCTAGTCCATTTACATTTGGTAGTAGTTCGACAACGACTGCTCCAACAACTACAACTTCTACTAGTCCATTTACATTTGGTTCTAGTGGTACGACAACTGCACCTACAAGTGCATCATTTGGTGGTGGTACTACTGGAACATTCGGGTTTGGTGCAGCACCAGCAGCTGCCCCAACAACAACAGCTACTACTGGTCCTACATCAAGTATGTTCTCATTTGGTTCAACAGCTGCAGCTCCTACCACTCAAGGATCTTCATTTACATTTGGATCAACTCCTACAACTCAACCTTCTACATTTACATTCGGATCAACAGCTACAGCACCTACTACACAACCATCTTCATTTACATTTGGAGCAACCAGTACAACAACTCCAGCAACACAACCGTCTTTTACATTTGGATCGACAAGTACAGCAACTTCGACACAACCATCGACATTCGGTTTTGGAGGAACAAATACGACTACTACAACTCAACCTTCAACATCAATATTTGGTTCAACACCTGCTGCTGCTGTTACTGCTGCTACAGTACCAAGTACAACAACATCTTCATTTACAATTGGTGTAAATCCATCAACGACGACACCGTTTGGTACTAGTACTGCAGCATCAACATCCTTTGGAACAACATCGGTAACAAAAGCAGCTATACCTTCAACAGGTTTTCCATCGTCATCTCTTTTTACTCCAAGCAATCCATCAACAACACATTTTGGATTAACTGCAACAACAACTACAAATGCACCGGTAATCCTTCTTTTCAATTTTTTACAATGAATAAAAATAAGAATCAATTGTTATTCTATGTATCTATTTTAGACATTAACTCCATTTTCGTTTACTCGTGCTCCAACAGCCACAACTTCAACAACAACCACCACTCCGTCGACTGGTCTTTTTTCGTTTGCTACTCCTTCCAATAGTACTACTATTGCTGCAACTGTTACTAATACTAATGCTGCTGCTCCATCAACATTCTCTATCACAACAACACCTGCTATCACAAAAGCATCAACTACAACATCTGCTCCAACTTCAACACTTTTTTCTTTTGCTACACCATCAACAACATCATCGAGTTCAACAGTAGCACCATCATTTCCATTCTCTACTCCATCTGCTGCTACAGCGGCAACTTCTACAGCTGCTCCTTCGGTTAGTTCTATTCTTTTTTTAACTGAAATTATTCATTCACATATGATTCTTTCATTTTAATTATCACAGCAAAAAAATGAAAATTTCTTGTTTCAATAGTTATTTAAAAACCAAAGAACAATTTCTTATTTTTCACCGAATATTTTTATTTTTCTAGGCGGCTTCGTTGTTTTCATCAGTAACATCTACTACAAATA